AGAAAACACTTTCACTTTATAGACCAGGATACTGAGGCCCAGAATGGTCAAGAGACTTGACCCTGATCGTACAAGTAACAAATGGGAGAACCAGGATTCAAACTCATGTTTCCTAACTCCAGGTCCAACACTATTTCATTCAGTTTCTTGACACTGGAAGTGTTCAAGCAGAAGAGATTTCAGAATGAACTGGGAAACTGGGCCAGGATCATAGATTTAAAACTGGAAATTATCTTAGTGATTTGATTCTTAAGTCTATCTCCCACCCCCCATGTATAGATAAAGAAACTGGTAGGTATTGGGGGTGGGGAAACTTACACAGAAATGTGAAATACTTTCCCCTGGGTGAAAGCCCATGATCTTCTCATTCCATGTCTACACTCATTCCTCTCTGGTACACTGATGACCTCAAAGGTGGGTCTCTTCTACCTCTAATGTTCTACAAGTCTACGATCACTCTGTAGTGTGCCTCTGGGGCTATATGATTTTGCTAGCTTCTAAAGGTAGTCAAACTCTCACAATAAGAGTTTAGCTAACTCCTCGTTCTGTCATTCTTGGTACTGAAGGCTGCCTGGTTTAGAAAAAGTAGCAGAGGAGTAACTCATCATCACCACCTTTAGCATCCTGGAGCTCAGAAAAAGCAATAATAATCACCTGCAGCAAACTGTCTGCTCCTGCACAGCCTTGTACCCAGCATCAGTGGGTCCCTTTAAAAAGAAAAAAAGGTTCCAAAACAAAGGGAATTTTCCTTTTTTTAGAAGAATTGGATTCCAGGTGGGTTTGGATGGAACAATTTAGTCAAGAAAAGAAAGGCCAGGACTTTGTTTCCGGTGGCCCATGGCCATGATCTTCAGAAACAAAAGTACGGCCTATGCTAGAGCCAGCTCCAACCCTCCTAAGTGTTGAAGTATTAAATCTTCAGTGGCGACATTTACACCTCAGAAATCAATAAATGCTACAATTATATCTTGATCTGTTGTTTTGTTGATTATTTAGACTTAAAATGGTGATGGAGAAAACATTTAAAAATGCCGATTAAATTTTAAAGTATGTGTTCATACTTTTTCCTGAGAACTGGTTGTTAAATATTTACCAGCATACCTGTAGGCAAGGGCTAGAGATAGGACCCAGAAATTGTCTTGGGGCACTTATCAATGTGAATAATAGGAAGGATTCTATCTGGGACCTACTTTACCCCTTAAATGTCATAATATAGTTTCAGTGCTATTGGTTGTTTGGGGTTTTGTTTTGTTTTTTTTTTCCCCAAAATGTTCTTCTGAGACCACAGCTGACTTTCCCTTCTGGGACTTCAAGGTAATGCTATTAAATTCCTCTAATAATGCAAGCATCTGTCCCCACAAAAACCTGGGCTTCATCAGCACATAGACCTTGTTCATGTTCCCACTTGGTGTAAGGGAACATAAACCCAAATAAGGGCTGAAGTGTGGTACGGAGGAAACAGCACAGAATCTGGAGTCATGGGTCCTGGGTGTGAATGCTGGCTCTTATAATTTGGTAGTGTGACCTTTGGCAATTACCTTCATAATTAGGCCTCAGTTTCCTCACCTGAAAATTTAAGGGGATGGGCTAAAAGATCCTAGTTATATCTCAATCCTAGGATCATAGGGTCCAAACTCATTTTAGGGTCTCCGGATATAAAATTCTCCATATCCTAGTGTGGTGTCCTTGAAGCTGGCCTCTCTGCTAAACACCTCCCTAGGGGAAGATAGTTAAGCTCCAGAAACACACACACACACACACACACACACACACACACACACACACACACACACACAATCTTTAATAGGATTTACAGAATTTAAGGGCTTCTCAGCTTTCACTGCTGTGCTGTGGAATCTGAAAGGTTCTGCCAGAGCCCACTAAATCATCTGCCTGAAACAGATGGCAAGCAAAGAGCCATCAGGAAGGGCCTTCTCATTTAGTCCTATTAGAAGAGACAGGGAACCAAACCTGCTGGTATCAGACACATAGGACAGAGCTTCCCTGCAAGTTTAAGAAAGAAAAAGGAAGAGGAGGAAGTGGACAGTTGTTAGAACTTTTCTAACTCACCTTCTCCTCCGAGCTGAGAACGTGGAAAAGCAGCTCAGGATTTTTAAATGATGTGTCATTGAAATGAACTTGGGCCTTCTAGGAATCCAAGGTCTCATTCATTTGACAATGAACTGGTTTCCATACCTGGAGCATTTAAGCATATACATTCGCATTTCCCATCTGTACTTTAAAGGGAGTAAGTATTCCTCTCCCTCCTCTTGCGGGGTAGAAAAGGCCTCATAGAGGTAACTCACTTTTAAAAATTATTTATTAAAAAGATGGAGATGGGTTGGAGGAAGGGGAGGATGTAGTATTTTGTGGTAGCAAACAGGTACCCATTTTCTGAAATATACCCCAATCCCTGTCTCCTTGCCAAGATAACAGGCTCCTTCTCCACAAGGAATCATTATGAAGGGTCTGTCAGCTTTTTCATTAAAAATCCCATTTTCAAAGGTTTATAACTTGGCCATAAAATTTGGCTCTAGGCAGGAACTTGGCACATGAAGGGTCCCCGCTAGGGAGCAGATCTCTTTTTCTCCTCCACTTAAAAAAATGACTTTATCAGGTTTGCCACTGGGGGGACAGGAAAACTCCAGGGAGAGGTGGGCAGTGTTTGAGGCTGAGCAATGTTTGAAGAGCCCGTGGGATAAGGTTGTAAGAGAGGCTGACTTTACATGGATGAATATATCTCTAAGAATTTTTTTAGCAATCTTTTGGTGGGGGTACAGGATAAAATGTACCCCCCCATCCAGATTCATTTTCAATTTGCTCCTTTCTCCAGACTTTTCAAAGACAAGGAGTGTACCCCTCAGATGCCAGCTGCTCATTTTAAAATTCCTTCTCTCTCCTCCTCTCCTGGCCATGTAAAGCTTCTACTTTGAACGCGCTGCAAGTTCAGTCTCCTTTTACATGTCCTCATGCCTCAGTTACTGCTCCCTCTGCTTCTCTGATGCTTTCCTTGGCTTGTAATCCTCATGGAGGAGTACACAGACAGCAGAAGGAAGGACAATCTACCACAGAGCAAATGGGAAAAGGGAATAGGAGTCTTCAACTATCTCCTCGGCAGAAGGTGCCAAGCCACCTGAATGTGTTATAGTTTTCTCAGCCTGGCATTCTAGGCCCTTCACCATATAAAGTATTTTGTCTGGCATTTAAACCTCTTTACAACCTGTCCCTTCCTACATTCCCAGCTCCCTTATACTTGACTTCCCTTCATGCCCTCCATGATCCAGCCATACTGGCCTGCTTGCTGCTCCTCCAACATGACAATCTTATCTCCCACCTCCATGTCTTTGCACTGGCTGTCCCTCCTTCCTGGCATGCCCTTCTTTCTCATCTCTTCCTCTTAGAATTCCTGGCTTCCTTTGGCTCAAGCTCAAGCTCTTCAGGAGACTTTTCCTTGTCCGCACAGTTGCTAGTGCCTCCATATACTCTGTATATATCTTGTATAGGCATACATTTTGCCTCCTCTGCTAAAATGGAAGTAACTTAAGGACAGGGATTGCTTTTGGTTTTCCTTTTTTTTTACCTAGTTGTCACACTACCTATCCAACTTTTTTTTTAACTTTTCTAATCTGGTCCAACCAATGGATTTGGGATCAGAAAATCTGAGTTCAAATCTGGGCACTGCCACTCACTTTTGTGACCTTGAGCAAGTCATTTTCCCTTTGGGACTTAGGTTCTTCATCTGTAAAAAGAAGAAGTTAGGACTACCTGTTTTCCAATGTACCTTCCAGCTCTAAAGTCTATGAATGATGTCCTTATACTCTCTCAATTTTCATTCCCATCCTGCCTTTGCTCACTGTTTTCCCTGGGGTTTGGTTTCCATCTTTCTCTCTTGCTTGTCCACATCTCTGAATGTTCTAACTCAAGTCCCAGTGTTTCCCTCTCTAAAAATCTTTCCCTGCCTCTCCAGCCCACATTGACCTCTCTCCTTTGGACTCCTGTCTACATCCCTCATCTGGCGAAGAGTGTATATATCTGTCTATTACTAGAAATCTGTCTCATCAGCTAGACCAGAAACCCCTGAGGGCAGAAACCATGTCTTACTCCTCTCAGAATCCCCACTAGTGCCCAAAATAGGTCTGTGAAGAAGGTAAGCATTCAGCAAATATGTATTGCACTGAAGTTAAAGAAGAAAGAGGAGGAGAGAAAAGAAGAAGAGGAGAAGGATGAGAAGGAAGTGGAGGAGGAGGAGAAGGAGAAAAAGGAAAAGAAAGAGAAGGAAAAGGAGGAGAAGAAAGAGGAGCAGGAGGAGAAGGGGGAGGAGGAGGAAAAGGGGGAGGAGAAGGAGGAGGAAAATAGAATGAATTATAGGCAAGTTTAATTGAAGGCAGAAGCTGGGTCATTTTTGTCTGAATATCCCAGGATACACAGACTTTGTCCACACACCTCTAGATACCACCCAGTACATAGAGGTTCTTTAGTAAGAACCTGCTAAATGATTGATTTAGAGTCAGGGAGATCTGAGTTCAAGTACTACCATTGATCATTTTACTTGTTAGGAATTGCTGATCTGCACCCCTGGATCACGTCATGGATGCACAACAACAATGTCAGAGGAGCCACTAAAGAAAGGGCAAGATCATTGTTTGTCCTCCCCTTCTCTAGGCCTCCATGTTCTTTAAGCTACCTTCTAGATCCAACTTTCTAATTCCATTCAGTTCAGATTAGGGGAATGTTGGAGCCAATGCATATTGGTTTTTGAGAGCTGGTAGTTAAATTTTCAGTGTGCTCAACTACACCATGAAAATGGGCAAATACTACAAATAAGGGCTTGCTTTAGTGTTTTGTTGATTTTCTAGTCTTAGGAAAGTGATGAAGAAAATGTTAACAATGGAAATTAGCCTACTGCTAAACATTTACCAGAACATCGCCTGGCTATGTCATTCTATGTGTTCTGTAGTCTAAGGTCCCCATCAGTTCTAATCTGTGTTCTCTGTGTCTAGGTCCTTCTCTTCTCTGACATTCCATGATTACCAGCCATGGCACCCAGCTTTTCTGCTGGGCCACTGTGTCTTCTGGATTGACTGATGATCACTAAGCTACAATCAAGTGAACTGGCCTCAGCAATCTTCTTGGATCAGTTTTTAGTGACCTCAGAAACCTGGTGACAAGGCAAAGGAGTAGAAATTTTAATACAAACCATTTGTATCAACTCTCCTCTGAACCTTATTTCTTTTTCTGTCTTTTTGTGGGAGACAGTTTTACATCAGTGGTATCAAACTCAAATAGAAACAGGGGTCTCCTAAAATGTGCATAAGGATCCCAGTGGGCTGCATATTGACTTAGAAAGTCACATATCAACATATTATTTGTGTTCTATTGTATTTATAATGTAGATTAAACTTAATTTCCCAATTACATTTTAATGTAATTTTTTTGCATTAAGTATTTCCCAATTGCATTTTAATCTCAGGGCTTGGAGTTTGACATCTCTTTTACATTACAAATCATCAGCTTTAGAGCTGGACAGACGTGGGAGACTGTGTAATCCAATCGAACCTCTTCATTGTATGGATGAGGAAACTGAGGTCCCAAGGAAGACATGGGTAGTAGCCGTCAGAGGTACGATTTAAAGCCACCTTCTTTGACTGTATATTTAATGTTCCTTCCATTGTATGTCAGACTCCCAAAGGCGGGCTTATGTTTGCATTTTGGAGCTTACCACCAACCCGACCAGGCACTCTCAGTCTGAAGCGGAGTTTGTTCTTACAGGCATTGTCTATACCAACTAGGCAAAGGCAACTGGACAAGCAACGTAATTATCTCAGTAATTAAACCTAAGAATACTCTTTGAACTCCAATGCAATTTAGCTCTAATCAATGAAATATTTACTTAGTGGATTAGTGTGCCTAGGCCTTCTGGGGGATAAAATGATAATTGTTACATAGCTCTTGCCCTCAGGGAGCTCACAGAGTCCTTGGAGAGATAAGAAACACCCTGTGAAACTATTGGACAATAGGACCATGTAGGATAAAACACCCAATTGAGTAAAACCAACTGCCAGGTTCTTGGTCCAACCATAATAACTAGGAGAGGTCAGGAAAAAGTGAATTCTGTTGGTGGACCTGAAATCAGGGAAGACTTCATCCAAGAAATGCAAAAAACAGGCAAGAGAAAAAGTAGAGAGTCTGAACTTGACCCAAGAGTCCACTTGTCTGATTAATAATCATAGCTAACATTTAAATAACACTTACTATGATGTCAGGCACTATAGTAAGTGCTTTAATTTTATTTGATCCTCACAACCATCACCTAAGAGGTAAGTGCTATTATTATCCCCATTTTACAGATGAGGAAACAGAGGCAAACATAAGTGACTTACCCAGGGTCACTAGTGTCTAAGACCAGATTCAGACAGGTCTTACTAACTCTAGGCCTGGACCTCTATCTACTGCATCACCTAGCTGACTCATTTCTAGGGATAGTGGTTTGAAATCATAACTTCTCCAGATTCTTGGTTCATTTGAAAGTAAGGAAGACTCTCACCCATTTTTCTCTATCCCTCAGAATCATCCTGCTCTAGGCAGTTTTCTAGGCTTTCCCTTTCTCCTCCCATGTGTTTAGTAGGAACACTGGTTTGACCAGGATAGGAATGATGGGCTCTCTTTCCAGATGGGAAGTAAACATTAGAGCCTCACCTGTACAATCAACAGTTCTAGGAAATCTGCCAGGGAAAGAGGGTTGTTTCTTATGTACCTGGAACATAGTAGGGGCTTAATAAACCTTTATTGATTGGTTGTCACAGGGACATTAAAGAGGGCCTGTATTACTGATTTTATTGTAATAATCCCTTACCATTATAGGGTATGTTTTGCTTTTACATCCAATGCTCACTTAATACTCACAACCCCTCTGAGCCTTACTTTCTTCATCTGTGCAATGGGAGTAATAATACCTGGGTTCTGGTCCTTCACTTCATTAAATGACTGACCCAGTATTAGCTCCAAGTAGAATGCAAGTCTCTCTTTCTTCCTAATCTCACATTCTTTCCATAGTACCAGGCCTTGATAGTCATATTTTTTTCCTGCCTATGTCCTTTTTAGAACCCCCCCTCCTTGGGTGGGCCAAGATATGGGTTTGTTCTCTCTTTTATCATCCTCTGGGGATTGTAGGCCAAAGCTCTGATCAAGATCATCAGAGCTGATTGCTTGCTATCTGGGCAATTCCTACTGGGCCTCTGGCCAATGAAAGCCTTTGAAGGATGCTCAAGGGGAGGGAAATTAACTCCACCAGAGGAAAGGATGAAGCCAACTTCTGTTTGTTTTGCCCAGGACTCAGAAGCAGCCCCTAGGAGAAAGGAGTAGGGGAGGAGAGAAGGGGAAAGATCTTGAAATAGGCATCTACCGGGGCAGTCAACATGACCAGCAGAAGCAGGCCAGCTGGAAAGGTCATCCAGACCTAGCCAGCCTGAGACTGATAAACTTCACTGTATCCAGCCAAGTGAAAAGCTCCAAAGGGAGTCTAAGAAGCCAGACCAAATATTTCATCTCTGAATACAACAAAACCAAAAGGAATACCTTTAAAAAATATAGCCACTCCAACAGAGGAGAAGGCCAAAGAAATGCTTTTCCATCAATTTCTTTTCTTTTAATAGTATTTTATTTCCCCCCTCCATTACATGTCAAGACAATTTTTAGAATTCATTTTTTGTAAGATTTTGAGTTCCAAATTTTCTCCCTCCCTCCCTCCCTCCTCTTCTCTCCCCTCTTCCCAAAATGGTAGGCAATTTGATATAGGCTACACATGTGCTATCATGGAAAACACATTTTCGTATTAGTCACAATTGTGAAAGAAGAAAGAAAACATGAAAAAGAATAAAGTAAGTAAAAAATATGCTTTGATCTGCATTCAGAGACCATCAGTTCTTTATCTGGATGTGGATAGCATTTTCCTTCATGTAGCTCTTTGTACTTCTCTTATATCATTGTGCTGCTGAGAAGAGCTGAGCCATTCATAGTTGATCATCACACAATGTTGTGGATCCTGTGTACAATGTTTTCCTGGTTCTGCTCATTTCATGTTGCATCAGTTCATACAAATCTTTCCAGGTTTTTCTAAAATTTGCCTGTTGGTCATTTCTTATTGCACAATAGTATTCCATTACATTCATATACCACAACTTGTTCAGCCATTCCCCAATTGATGGGCATTCCCTCAGTTTCCAATATTGTGTCACCATTAAAAGGGCTGCTATAACTATGTTTGCATATGTAGGTTCTTTTTCCTTTCTTTATGATCTCTTAGGGACACATACCTAGTAGTGGTGTTGCTGGATCAAAAGATATGCACAATCTTATAGCTCTTTGGGCATAATTCCAAATTCCTTTCCAGAATGGTTGGATCAGTTCAAAACTCCACCAACAGTGCATTAGTGTCCCAATTTTCCCCACATCCTCTCCAACATTAATCATTTTTCTTTTTTGTCATATTAGCCAATCTGGTAGGAGTGAGGTGGTACCTCAGAGTTCCTTTAATTTGCATTTCTCTAATAAAAAATGACTTAGAGCACTTCTTCATATGCCTATAGTTTTGATTTCTTCATCTGAAAACTGCCTGTTCCTATCCTTTGACCATTTATCCATTGAGGAATGGCTTATATCTTATAAATCTGACTCAGTTCTCTATATATTTGAGAAATGAGGCCTTTATTACAGACACTTGCTGTAAAGATTGTTTCCTAGCTTTCTGCTTTCCTTCTAATCTTGGTTGCGTTGGCTTTGTTTGGAGAAAACCTTCTTGTTTTAATATAATCAAAATTATCTATTTTACATTTTGTAGTGCTCCCTATCTCTTGTTTGGTCATGAATTCTTCACTTCCCTAAATATCTGACAGGTAGACTATTGCTAGTCTTGCTCTTTTAATTTGCTTATGGTGTCACCCTTTATGTCTAAATCATGCACCCACTTTGACCTTATGTTGGTATAGGATATAAAATGTTTGTCTAGTACTAAGTTTGTGTCCTATTGTTTTCCAGTTTTCCCGGCAGTTTTTGTCAAATAATGAATGCTTATCCCAAAGACTGAGGTCTTTTCTTTGGGTTTATCAAATACTAGGTTGCTATTGTCATTGACTACTATGGCTTGTATACCTAATCTATCCCATGGATCCACCACTCTTTTCTTAGCCAGCACCAGATAGTTTTGATTGCTGCTTTATAATATAGTTTGAGATCTGGTATTGCTAGGCCATCTTCTTTTGTATTATTTTTTATTAATTCTCTTGATATTCTTGACCTTTTGCTGTTCCAAATGAAGTTTGTTGTTATTTTTTTCTAGCTCTATCAAATAATTTTTTGGTACTTTGATTGGTATGGCACTGAATAAGTAAATTAGTTTAGGTAGAATTGTTATTTTTATTATATTGGATTGGCCACCATGAGCAATTGATATTTTTGTGTTTAAATTTTAATGTTAAGATCTGACTTTGTATGAAAAATGTTTTGTAATTGTGTTCATGTAGCCCCTGGGCTTGTCTTGGCAGGCGGACTCCGAAGTATTTTATATTGTTTACAGTTATTTTAAATGGAATTTCTCTTTCTATCTCTTGCTGCTGGGCTTTGTTGGTCATATAAAGAAAAGCTGATGGGGCAGTGAGGTGGCGCGGTGGATAGAGCTCTGACCTTGGAGTCAGGAGGACCTGAGTTCAGATCTGGCCTCAGACACTTGATACTAGCTGTGTAACCCTAGGCAAGTCACTTAACCCCAATTGCTTCACCAAAAAGCAAAAACAAAACAAAAGCTTGTTGAGCCTAGTTAATAGGGGCAGCTAGATGGTGCAGTGGATAGAGCACCAGCCCTGGATTCAGGAAGACCTGAGTTCAAATCTGGCCTGAGACACTTGACACTTGCTAGCTGTGTGACCCTGGGCAAGTCACCTCACCCCATTGCCTCGCCAAAAAAAAAATGATGCTGATTTATGTGGATTTATTTTATGCCCTGCAACTTTGCTAAAGTTGTTAATTATTTCAAGTAGTTTTTTAGCTGATTCTCTAGGGTTCTCTAAGCATACCTTCATATCATCTGCAAAGATTGATTGTTTCCTCATTGCCTATTTTAATTCCTTTGATTTCTTTTTTTTTCTTATTGCTATAGCTAATATTTCTAATACTGATTGAATAGTGATGGTGATAATGGGAATCCTTGATTCACTCCTGATCTGAATTTTTTTAAAAAAACATTAACTTTTATTCTGCCCTGCCCATTGCATTTGAGAAAGCCCTGAGTAAATTTTTCCTCCTTTGAGGTTCCCTCTTATTAGTAGAAAGAGGTTATAGTATTTTATTTTTCCCTTTGCTTTCAAAACAGAAGAGAAATAGAATATAATACAATAGATAATATATGTAAAG